TTTATGTTTGAAGTATTTGCCAGCTATATTGGTCTCTGGGAAAATAATTTTGACCCAGTACAGTAATTTAATTTTCTATGACAACGTATTTTATACTTGATTTAATGCTCTGTTTTCACAGGCGAGCGTCCCTATCGATGTTCCATGTGCCCTTATTCAAGTTCTCAGAAGACTCATTTAACGAGACATATGCGTACTCATTCAGGTTGGTAAAAAGGCAGTTCAAAAGAGTTATGATGGTATTTTAGTCACATGCAGCATTTTACAGAGTTTTCCACCTTAAACTATTAAATGCTGAAAGCTAGCAATGCAGGACTGTATGAACTAAGAAAAAAGCAAAACAAAAAGCAGGCTGTTATTTTGTAGTGCTAATCTCTGTTAAGTATTACGTATGTTTGTTGATGCTCAGACTAAGCCTTATTAGGAAAATGAATGTTAATTTTTGGTTAGAGGCAAAGTTCAAGCTGCATTATTCTTATTTTCTCAAATCCTATAGAAAATTATATTCACTATTTTAGGATCTATTCAGTTTTATATATTTTATGCATCAGAACATATGAAGTGCTTTCTAAAGCAGGAGGGTGATAGACATATTTTGTGCCTACATTTGTTTTTGAGTCTTCCTCTTCTTGAAGATGCTTTCCTCTAATTTCCAAACTTTTTTTAAAGGAATTTTTATGCTGTTTTTATTTTTAAAAATGTGATGATTGTTCAAAACACTTATTTGTCTTAGATTACTGTTGGGAGAATTGTTGGGAGTAAAGTCTTCATCCTGGTTCATCCAAGCCGGGGATAAATAAGCAACATGGCGACTGCTTTGGGAAGATGGTTACAGTTTATTGAAGAAGCAGAAAGATGGTTCTTGCAGGAAAGACCAGAGGAGAGAAGGGGCTTACCACATGGGCAAGGGGTTTTTATGCCCTCTCTAGCCTTTTGTTTGGAATAGTTTCCTGTTCCTGTGGCATGAACTTTGAGGATATTTCCTGTGTCACATATTCTGACCTGAGTCTAGGTGTGCCTCTGGTATACTTGATGGTAATGGGTTAGTCCTATTATGTCCCAAAAGTCATATCCTGCTTCCCTGGGGCTGGGCTAATAACTCTTAGAGTTTGGGTGAGGTATGCAGATTTTAGGTCTTTGTCTTCTGGCTCCAGCTTTCCTGATAGTTTTACATTTGCATTTGTATAGGGCTGGCTGTTACTTGGAGACAGAGAGATTTGGGGGCTGGATTGGTTTCTGCTTTTAAAAATCCTTTTGAGGAAAAATATATTTTTCTGCCCTTTTAATATTTCCTTTTCTGGGGGGATCTGACTTCCCACATTACTTTAATTGGTTAAAGTAAGGGCTAGCAACCTGTCAGGTCGCTGGTCCTTCCAAAGCTCACTTGAAATCTTAAAGGCTTGCCAAAGCTTGTGAATTGTTAGTGATATTGAGAAATTAATTCTATTTTAATTCAGTTCAGGTTTTGGGAAGCCTTGGTTATCATGTGGATTGTTGGAAGGTCTGACATTTGAGGATACCAAGTTGCTGATCTTATCTTATTATATATCATATCATGTATGAATTGATTATCCTGTAAAATAATGCGTTATTGAAAAGGTCTTCTGAGGAAAAAAAAAACCTATTCTAGAAAGAGTATAAAAGTAACAGTTACTGATGCAGCAGCAGTTTCTGTAGCCTGGCCCTTCGATTCTTTGTTGACCCACATAGCCTTTGTTTAACAGCCGTTTGCTTTTTAGAGTAGGAAGCCAATCCATTATGGGGATATAGAGATGCTGTGCTATACAGAATTGAGTGGATGGTATATAGCATGCTATCAGTGATATGTGTAGTAGCAATGCAGTGCAGAAAGGCTAAGCCCCTTTTTCCATTTTGGCACTGTACAAGAGAGTTGGTAATCTCTACTACCTGGTACTCAGTGTAATCCACAGCTCACTAGGTAATAGTGCAACCCATTGCCTTCTTGCATATCTTCCAAAGCTTAAGATTAAATGCAAAGAATGCTCATGAGCCTGGATCAATGAAGCCTTGAATAGAGCTTGCTTAGTTAGAACACTAGTTTTAGGGGTTAGGAAGGAAACCAATTTGAAGCCTGTGAGCAATATTTTTAACTCTTATTGCTTAATCCACAGGATGTTTTTTGAACTTTGATGTTGTGTTTGTACTTGTATGCATTTTCTTTTGGATTGTCTGTGTCACTCAGCTAAACATATAACAGTACTGATAGCTGAAATCTATGCCCAAAGTTAGGGCCAGTGTAGCACTTCCATAGCCATGTGATGAAAATTCGAGCCCTTGGCAGCCTGCCCCTACTTATGACTACAGAAGTGCTTCAATTTCCCCATCATCTTCCCCATCTATGCTCTTCTATCCCTCTACATTCCGTGTCTCCCGTTGTCCAAGCTAACCTTTGCCATTTTCTTGCTTCTGCTGCTGACCAAGCATGCCCTTGTGAGGCAGCTGCTGACTGCACCAGGCCTTCCATAGGCCGTGTGTGGTCTTCTCCAAATCATGTGAGGCCTAGTGAGGTTTTGAAGCCTTCCAAAGACTTACGAGAAGGCCCTTCATGAGCTGGCAAGGCTGCATGTTGTTTGGAGAATTGTGCAAATGGCCTTGGAAGGCCTACCATGGCCAGCAGCAAATGGCCAGGCTTGGACATGCCTTGTCAGCAACAGGACAAAAAAGACAATGAAGGTCAGTTGGCATGGTGGAATACAGGGCAGCGAAGGTCTTCTGGCAGGGATGGGAGGGCAGCTGCTTTGCTCTGCCCTGTTGGAGCTTCCTGGGGATTTGATGTTTCCCTGGGTGTTCAATGCTTTCTGAATACTGGGTGTTTTGCACTCTGCTGTGGACATTTCCTGGGCATTTGGCACTTCTCAGGATGTGGTGCCTTTACACCACACTGGTGGGCCAAGCTGGGGTGATTAAGGCTTCCGGGGTGGCTGTGGCTTCTTTCCCTAGTTTCCCTGTACTCGCACTGCACTATAACACCCTCCCCCAGTTGCACACGGCCTCCCCCAGCCTCCCCGAATCCCCTGAAGTGCCCCCACTCAGTCTACTTAGGACTCCCTCTGCTTAACAACCAGTGATTCTCGTTTAATAATTGCATGTGATATCTCATTTTATGACTTCACTTAGCATCATAAATTCCAGTCCAGTTGTGGTTGTAACTATCTGTATTGACTGCTACTTGTAGCAGTTTATTATAAACATTCCTTATTGTTCTTTCAATTTTATTGTTCAAATGTGAGTGTTATTGTGTATTTGGGAGAATAGCGCCAGAAGAGTGATAGAAGCATGCTTGAGGGAAACAACATTTTTATAAATACAATACACAAACAAACCCCCAAATCATTTATCCTATTCAGTTTGCTCAACTACATAATTTTGCAAACATTTTGTAACAATATGAAAGTTAAATTGCAGCAGCAAAAATCAGTATGTTTAACATTCCTTTTTGTTGTCAGCTTATCCATCATTTTTGCTCAGAATAATAAAGTAAAATACACTGATTATCCAAATGGTTTGATTTACATTCAAAATATTACAATATTATGCTGCCAGCAGTGGGTTGGGGGAACTGTTTTTCCTTCATGAGAGTATATTCTCTTTGGGGATGTGTACAATAATTTTGTAAGATAACTATTCATCTATAATTTCCATTTTTCTACATTGCCTTCAATGGACCAGTTTGGTTTGGATTCCAAATGCTAATAATACTGTAGAGTGATCTTCTGGTATGTATATAACATAGATGGAATGTCTAATGATTTCTTGCATGTTTGTTTTCTTTCTTGTATTTTGTTGCTTTTTTGTGAACATGTTAAGTGGAAAATCAAATTATTCTTAAATGCAAGAAGTTCAATAGCATGATGAACTGTATAAATCTGTAGCTGTACATAATTTATGATTTGCAATGTAATGGTTAGTAATTGCTTCTTCCTTGCTTTAGGTGAGAAACCATTCAAATGTGAACAGTGCAGCTATGTGGCATCAAACCAGCATGAAGTGACTCGACATGCAAGGCAGGTTCATGATGGGCCCAAACCATTGGCTTGTCCCCACTGTGATTACAAAACAGCTGACAGAAGCAATTTCAAGAAGCATGTTGAACTCCATGTCAGCCCTCGTCAATTCCTTTGCCCAGTTTGTGAATATGCTGCATCCAAGAAATGTAACTTGCAGTATCACATCAAATCCAGACATCCAGACTGCTGTGATATCACAATGGATGTCTCAAAAGTAAGATTAAGAACTAAAAAGAATGAGGTTAACACTTCTGAGAACATTAACACTGAGAATAAAGTAGAACAAGAACAAACAAAGAAAGAGTTGACTGAAAAGAAAAATGAGAGAGTTGTAAAGGAGGAGAAGAAAGAGAGTTTGTCAAAAGAGAAGAAACCAACTAGTACTGCGAGCGTAGGCCAGATCACAACAAGAAGCCGCAAAATAGTTGATGAAAGAAAAGAAGAAAATGTGAAAATTGAAAAAACTAATAAAACTAAGAAGGCAAAAAGGAAAGCAGAGAATAGCTCTATTTCATTGACAAAAGATTTATCAACAGATATTGACGTAATAGTGAGAAAGAAAAAGAAAACCGAAAAACTACAACCTAAGAGTCAGGGTGAAAGCAAATTGGAGGTGACCAAAAAGTCAAATACTTGCCTTAAAAAAAACAAAAAAAGGAAATATTTGAAGAATAAAGCTGCTAAGAACAATAACATTTCTGACAGCAAAAAGATCGCAGATGAAGCTTCTGTTCCTAAGGAATGTTTTCTTATCCATGAAAGACAAAGGAAGTCATCTAATACTTCTTCCAGTGAGCAGGAACCTGTGCTTCTCATTGATGGAGAGAATCAATTTGCACCTGAAAATAATGTACATCAAGAGATACATGAACAGCACATAGATACAAATATCCCAGTAGAGATGAAAAACCAAGAAATACTTACAGAACAAGAGGAGATTGCAAAAGCTGTTTCAGAGAATAATACTGAAACAGGACTGGCAGTTATGCCTGGGACCAGCTCTGTGGATTCAAATACCACCATGGAAAAAGAAGCAAAGGACATTTTACCAGATTTATGCCAAGATATTCAGATGACACAAACCTGTGAGATGGAAAGTGTGACTGATCCAGATTTAGTACAAGAAATACGGTCAGTGCAAACATGTGACAAAGAGAGAATGAATAAAGCACATCCAGAAGATGTTTGTTCTATGAAACAATTAAAGGCTGAAGACCTAGCAGGAGCTCAACCTCACCAAAAACCAGAAAAACTTGAACAAAATACTGGAGCAGATTTGGCTTCATCATCACCAAGTGGCACAATAGTGAATGAAAATCAGGATGTGGAAGAGGATGAAGGTATCCATAGTCATGATGGCAGCGATATAAGTGACAACATATCAGAAGGCAGTGATGATTCTGGATTAAATGGTGCTCGGACGGCCCAAGAAAAAACAGGTCAGAAATCACCCCAAGAAGTAGCAGAGGCTAAAGCTACAAAGGAGAACTATGTGTGTATATTTTGTGACCGATCATTTAAAAAAAAGGGTGAATACAGTAAGCATCTGAACCGACATTTGGTAAATGTATACTATCTTGAGAAGGCAACAAAGGAGCAAGATTAACCAAACAGTTTAATGACAATTTATTCCTTTTTGTAAAATCCTCTAGAGCTTAGGTACAGTTCTTGTAGAATCTTTGCTTAAGCTCAGTTTGCTTTTACTATTAAGTTGTTGGTTGGTTATTTCCCCCGACCTTTGAAGAAATGTTGAACTAATTAACTATTTGTTTCTCTTTGATTAGAGAAGGCAAATAGGGTATGAAATGTTGTGGCTTACAAAGGTGACAAAAGTCTTTGGGATACAGCCCTTGAATCACTTGTGTGTTTCTGTTGATTTGCAACAGATATATATGTACAACTTCATAGGTTTAGGAATGGACAGCCCAGGGCAACGTTCATGGGAGTTGCTCCTGTACAAGCTCTTTAGGAATGAGCTGAAAATGCATAGAAGTATGCAAAACTACGCTCATGCTCTTGCAGAGGTCTGTTTATTTCCATGGAGCTTGAATTGTAGATGGTACCAGTTGATTAAGCCCCAAGTCTGTTCCTGTCTATTTAATACATTGCAAGGAGAAAGTTTAACCTGAAAAAGTCTCAGGCGTATTCTGCTCCTCTCTTTCCCTTAATGGAGAAAATGAAATAACCAGAGTTTACTTCAACGTGCTATATTTTTGATCACCTACTAGAACTGCTTCTTGAGTCCCATTTATGCACACTTACCACAGTATGGAAATTCATGCAGTTCTGTGCCATTGCAATAGGTGAACACCAGAACTATATGGATAAGAACAATTGTTGAATATATCTGATGTGTTCAAATGTGCCCATACGTTTCTGATGATCAGAATACTGCCAGTCCACAAATGGGGATGTTCTAGATATAGATTATATGATCAGGGAATACCAATTTTAATACATTAACAGCTTATTCCATGCAGAACCTCTTCCTTAAAAGATGAGCATGAATTCTGGATACAAAATCCTGAGGTTGCTTAATAACTCTTTGAAAATTTGCCAAGTACCCAGGCCATCTTTGCTAACAAAGTTGTTATATAAATGGAATCTTAGAAATAAAAAATATATAACGTTGATGCTCCTAGTAGAATCTGTTTTGGTTCTTGTTTATCTTAATGTATTGGTAGGGTGAGTGCTTAAAAAAACTCAGCTGTACAAGAAACACAGTAGCTTATTTTGTAAAAAGAGCACTTTTGGAAAAAATGAGGTTCATTAGCGGTAAAAAAAAATTCATGAACGTATTTTTAATTTGCATATACATTTCAGGTCCCCCAATCATGATCAGCAAGCCAAAATCTTGAAGTTCTTTCCATCTATTGATTGGTGAATCCATAATTTGGTAAATACTTCTTTAAAACAAGGTCATTTCCTTTTGTGCTTTAAGACAAGAAAAATGTTGCACATAATTGTTTTTATTTTTACCTATGCAGTTTAAATCTTTAGGAGTTTTAGTATTTTTGTTGTATATGTACATTTTATATATGCATGTTTAGTTTTGTTAAATCAGTTTCTTCCCTTAAGGTTGACACTTTCAGGTTTGTTGCTTATCATGGCCAGTATTCTCTGCTTCTTTTGACTGTAACTTTCTGATTCTATATTGGTTGGTATGGTTTTTTTTAAAAAAGGTAACAGGCCTATAAAATTGCTTTATTAATTACATCATTTTGGACAAATATTTCTGTATATTTCTGATTTAACTATGTTAGAGTTGTACAAATAAGTCACATGTTCCTATTAGCTTCAATAGAACTGCACGATGTCTTTATAGGGGTTCTCTCTAATGAAAATTGGGAACTTATCCTTCCTTTAAGAAGGCTATTTAAACTTAAATCTCTATATAAGTTTACATTTAAAGAGCTTTCTTCATTAGAAGAATTATGGACCCAGCCCATTGTTATTTGTATATATTCTGTTTTAATACAGATAATACTTCTGCTTTTTTGCATTACAAATATTTTTGCCATGCTTCTTCATTTCTTGGTGAAATTAAAAGTATTAATAGAAGTACTTACTTGGTTTTAAGACATTGCTAGCATTATAAATGAAATATCCATTGTAATGAATAATTAATTATCACAAAAATAAAAGGCTTGGACCATAGCTCATATTACATTATGCTTTTTCCCAATGTGCATTTATTTCAGTGAGTGTTAATTATACTCTGTTATACTCTGAAATTGCCTTGATAGAATCAAATCGCTCATTTCAAAGTCCAATAAATAAAAAAAATCCTGGTAAGCAACAAACCTTGAAAATGTCAGTTGTAAAAATTTCCATTTGCATTAAATCAAGTTCTAATCACCCATTGATCCTTTTTTATAATTCACATAAAGAAAAATTGAAATGATCAGATATCTGAAGAATAAATGTTCAGGCACAGGGAGAGAAGCACAACTTTATTTTAAAGACTTTATTAACAGGTAAGATTTGCTTGAATGTTTTGAAAACACAATGAAAAGCTACAGATAGCAAAACTGAGCATGCAACCTTTCATTCTTCTTCATTTTCAAATAATTTTTCTTTTTGTAAATTTATAGATGTAAGTGTGATTTCCAATACAGCAAATTAGCAGATACGAAAACTTGCATTGTCAAAGTCCACAATCTGCTGCAAAGCCCCATTGCTGTGTTCTTGAATTTTTTTTTGGTTCATGTCTTACTGTGTATGCATGAGAATCTCTTGATTATATCTCCAGATGGCTAACAAGAGACTTATTTGCTGCTTCAAAAATATTGAAACAAACTATAATATTTAATTTTTTCCCTTGAAGAAAACTGATCTTGCATTATAGTTTGGATTATATTTAATTTTTCCATATTCCCTTCTCTTTTTTCCTGGAAATGTTTATAGCTATTTCAACATAATTAGGCTGAATTGAGAAACCTAACACTTTTGTATAGGTGTGGATGGCAGATTTGCAATAGAGGCCAAAGATCTGAGAGAGAAAAACCCTTTTGGGCAAAAACAAATTGTGTAATGTTAGTTATTTGTGTGTGGAAAACTATGTCAAAACTTACTTCGCTGTGACAATCATTGTCAACTGAGAATCAAGTTGCAACTATATTTATGTTGATCCATTAAACATTGCGGAATTGTCTTCCTAACCAGTTAGCTAAAGTAGCATTATTCACAGTTCTGTTGACGGATGTAAAATATTGTTGTTTTATATGAGGGTTGGACAGAGACTGGAAACTCCATTACTCTGTGGATTTTTTTAAATGTCTTCCTATTTTAAGAGAGATACTTCCATTTTGTAAGAGCCTTTGTGGCCTTGGCCTACATTACTAGCAATTTTCTTAAACCAAGTTGGTTAGAGAAAAAAAGGCAGATATGTAGTAGTAATAGTGTTAATCACATCAGATAACTTGATGTTAAAATGATATATGACTTGAAATAGGTACTAGAAAATGATTAGAGATAAAGGTTTCACAGTAGAAGGGATTAGAAAATAGTGCCTGTATTCTTGAGCATGAGAATGCAAAGGAATGAAGTGTTAAAAGAACAAATATGCCAGTGATATTATGATGTGTCTTGAGATTTATTGGCTTTATAACTATCATAAATCCCAATATATTATTACCTGTTGTCTGTTTAGAAAAAGACAGAATTACATGTTTTAAAATATACCAGTAAAAGATGAAATGTCACTCCTATCTTCATGTTAGATGTAGCTAATGGATGAATAAATTAGGAATAAAAGTATATATAACATAATATATGTTTGCTTAAGGTAGTTATTTCTTAAATTGAACATTAAGATAATAAGGATTTGGATTTTTTTTCCAGCTTCTATACTAAAAGAAGGCTTCTTATAGCAGCAGTGCATATTGCAACATCTCAACTTGACAAATACTTTAGTATGTCATGTTGAGCACTATAGATAGTAGCACTGTTAGTGTTTGTGGATACAAATACTTAAATTAAATTCTACAAGTAAATTAAAGGATAAGTAGGAACTTGCAATACAACTGAATATTGCTGCTATCTGGAGCTTGATTTAGACATAAGGCAGGAGTGGCAACCCTTTTTAGTCTGAGGACTGCAATTCGTACCCGCAGCCAGCTGGAGAAAAAAGGATGCTTTCCAATGATTCGTAGGTGTCGCTGGAATTAACATTATTTTTCAACCCATTTAAAGCCTTTTGGAGGAGATCTAAGAGAGAGAATGGGAGCAGGGGGCATCAGAGTGGCAAACTGCTCCAGTTTTTCACCCTTATTTCCCCATGTGGTTTAAAATGCTGCCATATTATGGCTGTGTGATTTGAGGCTGTTTTGGACTATTTTTTAAAAAAGTGAATGATCTGCCTCGCAGAGGCCTCCTGTTCCTATCACTATTCTAACTTTGGTGGGGGAGGATACAAGTTTTTAAAAATTGCACTGCTGAAAGTTGGGTATTCTCTGCTGAATTTCAGTGGTGCAATCTCAGGGTGCTAAAAGGCCACCTGTGACCTAGAAGTTTCAATTCTTGTTATAGGCAAACTGACAGGTCAGTTTATGCACAGCATTAATGATTTCAGTATATAATACGTTTTGCTGATAAGTTGTAAAGAGAAGTTCATTTAAATTTATTGAATCTTCACTATGTAGCTAACATGCTGAGGTACAGTATTGATATCCAAATAGGTTCAGGAATTGTTTCAATAAATATACAATTTTCCACCTCTTAAAATTCAAATCACACTAGCTAAAGAACTTTTTGTAAGCTGGCACTGAAATGTTTTATGTTTGGTTGCACCGTGTTTGATGCTTTTAACAGTGCAATACTTGTATTATTCTCTCAATTTAAACCAAAGGTAATTTGTTCGTGCTTGCTATCTACTGTAGTGCATGAAGTGCTTTTATACAATTGTAATAGATGTAAAATCAGAACAGATCACATGTCCTGGGTTTTTTATTTACCTAAACTATGTACAAGTCTTTGTTCAAATTATAAAGTGTTAAACTAAATTGCATATTAACCCTTGAGTGTATTTTCCTAAGCATAGTTATAAGGCAATAAACTTTATTAAGGAATATGCATACTGATAATTTGTCTTTTATTCATTCCTATATTATAAATGCCTATTATGTATGAATTCATGGTATGAAGATCTGTGTTGGCTTAGTGAATGATAAGGAGACATTTTTTATATACTAAAATGGAAGAAAATTATGAATAGTTGGAGATTGGCCAAGTCAGTCATAGTCATTCACTAAGAATACACATTTAAATGGGCATTGGATCCATGACCTGTAAAGAATCAGATTGCAATACACTTGATGTAGAACAGGATGGTAGTCAAATCATCTTTTGGCACTTAGGATTACATTTATTTTATTGGGGAGGAATATGCTGGGTGGATGATAATTAAAAGGAGGGTATTGCAATATTTTGCACTTGGATGAACCTGAATTTCTTGATTATTTCCTGATTTTGAGGGAGCAAGCTTTTACTTGTATTAAAATAATTGAGACAGTTAAGCCCTATCTTTACATTGTCATGTTTATCCTTTTTCAAAGATTTTACCATTTTATATGACCTATTCTTCTGTAATGAATTATATAATTAACACACATGCTTAGATTGATAGCTTGTTGAGTTTTTGTAATTTTAACAGCCATTCAAAATTATGAAGGTAATGAACAAAGAGACGTGGAACCTGTACCCAAAGTTATGGCTTTTGCATTTCCTTTGTAATCATAGAATTGTGATCTGGGTGCTTATGAGGTGTGTGTGTGTGTGTGTGTGTGTCTGCTCAGGGGCTGAAACTCTTGCTTGGATTTCAGCAAAGAGGATTTTCAGCTCCTGCGTGGAGAGACACTCAGGCATGGCCTCTGCTGGGCCTCCCAGAGTTTTCCCCATCTCACACATCTTACCTGGGACTCCATATACTTAACCACCTGTGAGAACAGGGAGTGCAGAAATTGTGGTTTTTGAAAAAAGCAGTCACATGGTGTCTCATTTAATGACCACTTTGCTCAATGACTGAGATTCCGGTCCCAATTGTGGTAGTTAGGCAAGGTCTACTTGTACAAATAAATGCTACTGCTTATTTACATCTTAGTTCTTTAAAATAATCTCAGAAGAGAAAACATTAATGGTATCAGGAACAAAATAATAGAATGAAATCCAATAATCTTTGTTCCATAGAACCTGAAAGAGAGAGAATTCTCCTCTCCATAGCTCTTGCTGTTCACTTAGTATCTTCTCCAAAAGGCTAAAGAACTCCCCAGAATAGCCTGATGGGAAGAGAGCTCTGGAAAAGAATGGCAGCAAGATAGATTTCTCCCACTCTGTGAAAATTTTAAATTTAATATTGTAGCTTTTAAAACGGAAGATTAAAAATTAAGGGATATTGAACCAACAAATACCAATAGATAAAAATAGTATTTTAAAGTGACGTGTATAATACTAAGTTTATTCTGGAGACATATTGAGTTAGATGGATCTTCCTTATTCATATTCAATGTATATAAGATTGGAGCCTTATGGAAAGGTAGCATGTAATAAACTTTTAGTTCTTAGAACTCAACTGTTGCTGGTTACTTGTGCTTGTCGAGAGATGACTGGCCCAAAGTCACCCAACTGGCTTTCATGGCTAAGGGAGAACTTGAGCTCATAGCCTCCTGTTATCTAGTCTGGTGCCTTAAACACTAGACCAAACTGGCTCTCTACTATTCTCAATTTAAATGAAAGGATGTAATAATTTTGAAGCAGGAGATATTTCTGCAACAGAAATGCTATATCATGAAAACATAAATTAAACCATAGCACTAGCACAAATGCATAGTTTGCAGCAAGCAGACTAGAATATATTCTTAAGAGTCTTTCAGTCCACTCAAGGTTGCAACACTAGGAATAATACAGTGATTGCTAAACATTAATAATTTCTAATAATTATTAGAAATTCTGTATCATAATCCTGAGAGTTGTGATCAAGAGGCCATGTTAGTAAGATGTACTTCTAGGATTTGTTGGTATTGCCATCAACCTTGTGTACATAGAAATACTTAACGATAACTAAATTGGCAAAATGTCTGTGGAGATAGTCATCCAGGTCATAGTTGTCTCAAAGGTGCTTTTTTTTTTTTTCCGTCAAAAGGCATGTTTTTTCCTTGAGGAAGAGAAGAAAACATTTTGTATCTCATCCAAGAAGTTTCAGCAGTTCTTTCAGGATAGGTTCTGAGAGGATGGTGAGGGGAAATGTATTTCTTTGCAGTCATCTGGTTGTTAGTGAGAGCTGTTGAGGCCATTTGGGAGTGTTTATCTGTGCCCTCAGGGTCACCTGAATCATTGCAATTGGTTGTGGAATCTTCTTGGAACTGTTGCAAGAGTTGTGTTATAGACTGGAGATAGGTGTTGTCTTATTCCTCCCCCTCTATTGAGGGAGGACTAAATTAAATTGGCAGATTATCAGAACAACCAGTTTAAAACTTGTTGTTATGTATCTTTGAAATCTTGTGTACTGTAATTCTTGCCTTCTCTTTCTCACACTAGCTCTTCAGCAGCCCTTGTATGGGTACATTCTCTCTACTCCTGCTCTAAGAATGTCTTGCTAGTAGTGGAATTCTGCATATTTTCATATCCAGTGCTATTGTTCAAGGTTACATTCTCCTGAGACACCTTGGTTTCTTATGAGTTGATAAATTATGTAAATATACTGCATTTGCTCATTTTGCATAATTTCATTTTAAATTTTTAAATTTTTTCTTTCTGTTCAAAATTATGTGTAGTGAAAAAGCATTATTTGGTTCTGAA